AAGGACCTGTATTTCGGCATTGAGCAGGGGCCCACAACAGGGGTTTTCTTTTATTACAGTCTACCATGAATTAATAATGGAAACCTGGAGTGTGTTGCCATTGGTTACCACTTTGGGTCATACATTTATACTAGCCGTAATAAAACAAATACGAGTAAAAGAAAAAAAGGTTGTTTTTTTTCTTTAGAGGGTTATTTTCTTTAATTTCAATTCAGGTAGATGCAGCAGTCTGTCTATAATTATGTTCAAAATAAAATTAAAAAATATTTAAACAAAAGCCTATGCCTAGATTTTACGTTCCCAGTAATGTACGTTTGTGTACACAACAGAAAAGTGTTCATCCTTGGTTTCGATAATTATGCGTATTAAAATCAGTCCATCTATTGTTGAATAAAATCGTTGATGTACAGATAAAAATGCACCACTCTTACTCTCCACAGCCTGTTCATCTTTCACTAAATCTCTTTATTTTTTCCAAATTTTTTTTCAAAAATGTGTAGCCAATGCAAAATGGTTTCTACTTGCACCAAAATTAACAAATAAATTCTAGAAAAATAATTCAAATTTTGATCAATACCTGTAAAAATAGGAGATTATGACCCTTTTGTTGAAAAATAACATGGCAGTGATTTCCTTTTAGTTCAATATTAACTAAGGACAATAATTCAAATTTCATCAAAGTGGTCGTTGTTTACGTATAAATAAACTTCAGTATTGCAAACATCAAAGTTGTTGATGATTGTACTTCATACTTTGTAAGCCAGGAAAATTTGGCACAATTTTTTTGCTGAGAATCATTGTAAATTCATAATTTCAAATTTTTCAAGTTCAGGCAAATTGCAAAAATGAGCAGTTGTTACTCTTTCATGGGGGCTCGGTAGACAGAGAATTACAGTGACTTTCCATGAACACCCTCTGGTGATCAACAATTTAATGATTACTTCTGGACTGCATAAATCTGCGTTGCCGTCAGTGTAACGTCTACTTTCCTTTGTTTTAAAGTTCATCAGTATGATGTAGATTATTTTTCTGCCCCCTTGCAATCCCTTGCGTGGTAAGCTCTCGTGTCTTTTTGGAACCAGGTTACTCGGTCTTCAGATGAGTGCATTGTACTTTCTGGTTCAGTGTTACGTTGTGCCATTTTAAGAAACTCTTCAGCTTAACCAAAAAGGCTTAAAAAAGTGGAAATTGATGGTTTTATAAATTAAATATAATGGATGCGTTGCTAAGAAACTGCAATAATAATTATTTGTCGATCATACTTCGTAAGATTTATGGGGTTGAAACTATTTTTTTGTAGAAATAAATCTAGTGTATTTTAAAATCATTTTTATTAATTATTATTTTTTGACTATTCTTCTCGAGTGTATCTTATTCTTTCTGTTATTACATTTTAATTTCAAATCAATATCTCAACCTTCATTTGAAATAACAGTACCCCCCTCTCCCGAGGAATACTGCCCTCTAGTGGTCCTATATGAATACTTCATTACTGCCCTCTTAAGTCTAGAGTAAGAAATTTATAAACTGATTTGATGTTTATATTGTGTGTTTTTTTTTTCTTTCTCTATATCAGCAACTTCTTGGTGCTGCAAATAATGATACTAGTGCTGCAAGAGATGAACCACCCCTAGCACAACCAGAAGATTTAGCTGAAGAGGTAGGACACTATACATTATTTAACCACTGTCTCACCACTGTAAATAAACGTCCTATTAAAATGCTGCTGAAAATAAATACAGAAATTTAGACATGGTTAGAAAATGGTTAGAAGACTTATTGGCAGGGCCGGGGCAGAGTAAGCGGTTTCCCAATACCCGATAAATGGCAACAACTGAAGTCTTGTAATATGCGCGAGTGCAATGGTCACATGCTCTATTAGAACGAGACCTGATATTCTTGCGTCTTTCATACATGCCTTGCATATTAAACGTCAATAGATCGATAGTGAAAATAGAAGCTTGTTAAATTCTAAGACACACTGACCAATGGAGTTAATAGTTTACTTGTTTGAAAACATTTCCAACTATCGCTGTGTTCACCCCTTCTCCTTTGGCTGTGTTCACCCTTCTTCTTTTGGCTACATTCACCCCCTCTTCTCTTGGCTGTGGTCACACCTCCTGTTTTGGCTGTGTTCGCCACCTCCTCCTTTTAGCTGTGTTTACACTTTTGTTCTCAACGCTTTCTTATTTTTTTCTACAACTTTTGACAAGACAGTTGAAGCTACTTATATTATTAAGCTTTTAAAACATTTCATTGATTTTAGGGAAATAATAATTGAGCATCATTAGTTTGAAACAATGACATTGACAGAAGCTTTAACTTGTTTATATGTCCGAAATTTTGCATTGCTTCAATAGAATCAAGCACGACTTGATAACATTTTGC